TATTTGTTATATTTATATAATCAAAAATTATAAGAAAAATATCATAGAAATAGTAAAGTTTTATATAAAAATAAAAATTATTATTTATTATAAATACCTTATCAGAAGAAATTTTTAAAAAATCTTTTTGTGCAATTTCTAATCTTTTTGACTGTTTTGGAGAAGTAAAAAAAACTAAAAGGTGTTTAATTTTAGTTATTAATTTTTTTGCTGGCATCAACTCTTTTCTAATCGCTAATTATAATATATGTGCTGGACATTTAATATGATATATTTCTAAATTTAATAATTCAATTGCTTTTTTAAAATTTGTTGCATTATCAGTTACAACACTAATTACTTTAGATTCTATTTTCCATTCATTCATAATATTATTCAACATATCTTTAACTGTTTCTCCAGTATGAGGATATTCGCATTTGTAAATTCCAAGAACAATTTTATTAAGTTTAAATTCATTATCTATCTAATAACATATTGCATCTAAATATCCATCTCTACTATAAGAAGTCTATAAATCGCAAGTTAAAGAACATGAAATAGCTAAATTAAGTTTTTGAATAAGTATATCCAAAGAATTATTATAAGCTTCATATATCATTTGTTTAACAAATTTATTGGTTGGTAATTTATAATTTGAGTCCAAAGAAGCTATAAATAATTAAAATTTTTTTGATTCTTATATATTTAACGGCTGATCATCCTCAATAATAAATTCTACTAAAGCTTGATTTTGTAATTTTCATTGTTGAGGACTTTGATTATTTGCTTTTTGAAAGGTATACTTAATACTTTCTTGATCTGAATTAGAAAATTTTGTATTGCTATCTTTTGTAATTCCATGAATAGCACCCAAATAATTCCAAAAATTTCTAGTAGATCCTTCTCCTGTAACAATAATTTTATTACATTTCACTCGTCTATTGTTATATATTATTTCAATAGTACAGCAACCAACTGTATTTGTAAGATTATTTTTATTTTGAAATGGTTCAAAATAATTCCAGATTTTGCTTTTTAATTTAACAACTTTATATATTGGTAATAGTATATAATTACTAGGCAATATCTCATTATTTATTATATTGTCAGGTGCAGAAAGATCGTTTGCTATCATATTATCTAAATAATCATTATTACTTAAAAGATATTCTTCATCGCCAATATGTTGAGAAATGGTTCCTTGTTCTGTTTTATTTTTACTATTTAATACATCACCATCTTTATCAGACTTAACTTCGTCTATAGTTAAAAAAAAAATATTTTTAAACTTAAATTTTACTTATTTCTTATTATTTCTTAAACTGTATTCCAGACAAATTTGCCTGGAAAATTTAATTGTATTTGGTATTTTTTAAATAAAATAATAATTTATTAATGATATGGGGTATATATTTATTATAGAATATATTCTTAAAAACAT